GAGAGAGAGAGAGAGAGAGAGAGAGAGAGAGAGAGAGAGAGAGAGAGAGAGAGGGAAGAGAAAGAGGAAGAGGGAGAGAGAGAGAGAGAGAGAGAGAGAGAGAGAGAGAGAGAGAGAGAGAGAGAGAGAGAGAGAGAGAGAGAGAGAGCGAGAGAGAGAGAGAGAGAGAGAGAGAGAGAGAGAGAGAGAGGGTGAGAGAGTGAGAGAAAACGAGAGAGGGAAAAGAAAAAGAGAAGACGCCAGATACGCAACAAGATACAAAAAACAGATGAGGTATTATACGCAGTTTAGAACTACCAAGGCTAATTTGAAATTCGCGCCAAAAATAGACACTAAAGGGCGAGACTAGAAGGCCACCCTATACTTTGACCCAATTTATCTCCGTTCCCATGATAGATATAATAAAACTGTCAACTGATAAAATGTTTAGCACAAGATCACAAACATTCTATCAATTGACACATTTTAAATATCTTGCACAAAAAGTGAGATAAATAAGCTCAAAGTGCAAGTATAGACAATAATAAAAAGTGCCCGAATCGTCGTTAACTTTGAGCTCTAATATCTCAATTTCTGTAAGAGATATCAGAAAATGATTGACTGATAAAACATTGTTGATATTGTGACAAACATTTTATCAGTTGACAATTTTTTGATATCTCTTACGGGAATTGAGATATTTAAGCTCAAAGTGCGCGTGTATGGTTGTCATTTTTAGGTGGTCGAAAATGAAGTAGTCTGTTTTTCTACCCAAAAAAAAAGCACGAAAATAAATGGAAAAGGCAAAAAATAAACAAAAAATCAATTGCAAGTAAGAGTGTTCCAAAAAAACGTAACATTTTTATCGCCAACAAAGTAGGTCAAAAAACGATTTGGCGGTTAAAAAAGGAGAGTTTGAAGTTTGAGCTCACATATCTCAGTTCATACGAGAGATATCAAAAAGTTGTCAACTGATAAAATGTTGGTGATATAATGACAAACATCTTATCAGTTGACAAATTTTTGGTATCTTGCATACTGTCTATTCAATAAAACGTNTANAATTTTCAAGATTTACATGATTTTACGATCTTCAGGATTTTAAGATTTTCATGATTATCAAGATTTTTAAGATTTTCAAAGTTTTCAAAATTTCTTGATCATCAGGATTTCAAGGATATTAAGATTAACAAATTTTCGAAGATACAGAATTTCAAAATTTGAAAATTCGGAATTTTCCAAATTTCGGATATGCAAAGATTTTCATGACTTCAAAATTTCAAGATTTTTAGGATTTTTATGATTTCTGAACTTCCGAGTTTCTTAAATTTCTGAAGTCCTAAA